AATGACAGGTATAGGACGTAGATGATGAATGGCAGGTTATGACATGATGATAGGAATGGCCGTGTATGAGCGATGATAGAATTGGCAGTGTTATGCGTATGGGGATAGAATGGCAGCATCTGTCATGACAGTATGATAGAATGGCAGTGTATGAGTATGATAGAATGGCGTGTTATGACGTGATTGATAGAATGGCAGTGCATACGTATGGATACGAATGTGGCCCAGTGAAATGGACATATATGATAGACATCGTCAGTGGATATGACGTATGATTAGAAAATGGCCGTGTATCGTATGCAATAGAATGCGACAAGTGCAGGACGATGTATAAATAATAGAATAAGAGCAAAGTAGCTAAAATAGACATATAAGATAGAATGGACAAAAAAACGAAAAAAAAAAAAAAAACGAGTGGATAGAATAGATGAATAGTGAAGCAAGATAATAGCGTATGATAGGAATGGCAGTTATGACGTAGTGATAGAAATGGACCGTGTAAATAAATTATAGAGTAGATAGAACCAAGACAGAATAATGAACGATATGAATAGAATGGCGAGCAGGGCCGCTCGGACGTGCAGTGTATGACCGTTAATGAATAGAAGGGCTAGGGATGACGTATGATAGGAATGGCAGTTGCATGAGACGTTATTATGATAGGAATGTCAGTGCATGACGTTATGATAGCGATGCCGTGTATGACGTATGATAGAATGGCCGTGTCACTTGACATATGATAGAATGGCCGTGTATGACGTTATATGATTAGAATGGCAGTGTCGTATGAGCGTATGATAGAATGGCCAGTGATATGACCTATGATAGAAGTGCCAGTGCATGACGATGCATAGCAATGGCAGATGCATGACGTGTGATAGAATGGCCGCTGCTATACGTATGACTAGCAATGGCAGTGCTAATGGTACGGTAGTGATGAATGGCAGGCTGTATGGACGATATGACTAGAGATGCAGTGCATAGACAGATGATAGAATTGGCGAGGGTGTATGACGTATGATGATGGCCTGTGTATGACGTATAATAGAATGGCAGGGTATGACGTATTGATAGAATGGCAGTGTATGAGATGATAGAATGCGACTGTAATGAACGTTATGATAGAATGCAGTGACATGACATATGCATGAATGCGCAGTGCTATGACGATTGACTAGAATGGCCTGTATGACGTATGATAGAATTAGTATGGCTCAGTGATGACGTATAGATAGAATGGCCCGTGTATGACGTTGATGGATAGAAGGCCGTGGGATATGACATTATGATAGGAATGGCTCGTGTATGACGTATGTATAGAATGGCAGTGTGATGGACGGCTAATGATAGAATGGCGCGGTGTATTGACGTTATATAGAATGGCCCAGTGCATAGCGTGTTATTGATCAGGTGGTGGGTAGTGCATTGGCATACGTATGATAGAAGTGGGCGTGTTATGACGTTTTTATGATAGTAATGTTCGAGTGTATACGTATGATAGATTGCCAGTGTATGACGATATGATAGATTGGCGAGTGCATGACATAATGATAAATGGCGTGTTATGACGGTATGATTGAATGGCCGTGTTATGGACTGTATGATAGGAATGGCAGAGGTAGACGTATGATTAGAAGTGGCCGAATGTATGACGTTATGATAAGAATGGCCGTGTATTGACATATGGATAGAATGGCCGTGTTATGACCGTATGATAGCAATGGCGAGTGTATGAATTAGTGATAGATATGGCCGGTGGTATGACAGTGCGCGTATGGATAAGAATCGGCTGAGTGTATGAGCCTATGATAGAATGCAGTGCATGACTAATTGGATAGATGGCCGTGTATGACGTATGCAGGTTAGAATAGGCAGTGAGTAAATAGAACGTATGATAAATGGCCATAGTATAGACGTATGGAAATAGAATGGCCGTGTAAATGAATATGATAGATGGACCGTTGATATGGCTAGCGTGTATGAATAGTGGCCGTGAATATGACGTTGATAGAATGGCCAAAGTGAAAATAATAATATGACAGAACTATGATAGAATGGTGCAGTGCCATGACATAGTGAATAAATGTGCAGGGACCAGGGCATGACGTATGAACTAGCAATGGCAGTGGCGCCACCGCAGTGACGCTATGAATAGAATGGCCGTTATGACGTATGACTAGAATGGCCGTGTATGACGGTATGATAGGAATGCCCAGTGTATGACGTATGTGTAGGCAACTTGTTTGTCACTACTGATAGCAGTTGTTGAGTTGTATTGATGTCGTATACTGTGTGCCAGGTCGTATACAGTCGATTTGAATAGAACATGCGCAGGTGGATATAACGATTATTTATGGTATAGAATGACAGTGTCATGACGGATGATAGTGAATGGCCAGATGCATGAACATATTTTGAAGTAGCTAATGCAGTGTATAAACGCCTATGATTAGAAGTGGCCGTGCATGGTGAATGATAGAATGGCCCGTGTTCATGACGATGATAGAATGGCCGTGTATGACATATGATAGAATGGCCGTGGTAGGACGGTATCAGATAGTAATGGCGTGCTTATGACGTTACTGCATAGACATGGCCGGTGTATCGACGTTAATGATAGAATGGCCTGTATGACGTATGATAGAATGCCCGAGGTGTATGACGGTATTATAGACTGGCCGTGTATGATCATATGATTAGACATGGCCATGTATGCACGATGATAGCAATGGGCAGTGATATGACGTAGTGCATAGAGTGCGAGGTCCGCGTGTGTTGTATGACGTATGATAGAATGGCCGTGTATGACATATGATAGAATGGCCGTGTATGACGTATGATAGAATGGCCGTGTATGACGTATGATAGAATGGCCGTGTATGACGTATGATAGAATGGCAGTGTATGACGTATGATAGAATGGCAGTGTATGACGTATGGTAGAATGGCCGTGTATGACGTATGATAGAATGGCAGTGTATGACGTATGATAGAATGGCAGTGTATGACGTATGATAGAATGGCCGTGTATGACGTATGATAGAATGGCAGTGTATGACGTATGATAGAATGGCCGTGTATGATGTATGACGGAGCGTCAACTCACTTTTCGATGACGATCTCGCGGGTCGTGACGACAGTCGTCACGGATCCGTACGACTGCACCATGTTCGTGACCCTGTCCTGAAGCTCAGCGACCTCCTTCGTCGGAGTCTTCATCTGCATCTGTTCAACCTCCACAGACACATTCTCTACGAGTATCGCCTTCTGCTCTGCATCCGTCTTCAGGCTCTGTTCAGCACCGCGCAGAAAAAACGATTCGATAAACATACCGCACAATATAATGTTTTTTTTTATCAAAACTCGCCATATTGCTTGGTTGTGGATTGAGAATTGTTGATCGAGAGGTTCGCCATTGGTTGCCTTTTGTTTTTTTTCCGGGTCTTCAGTTCCACGATTTTTTCTTTTTTGCCTTCGGGCAGGAAAATTATTTTCTTTTTTTTTTCTTCCCGGGTTGCCTTGGTTTTGGTCGGGGAGTTTTTGCTTTTTTTTTTTGTTTTGGTTTTTACCGGTTGGGGGGGGGGGGGGGGGTGGGGAGGCCACCCCCTTTTCTGCCTCCCATCAACTACTACTATGCAATAATTGTTACTACTACAGTATCCTTCACTGTTACACCTATAATTAGTGATAGCATCATCCTACAGCACTGACCTTAATGTCCTCAAGGTTGTGCTCCAACTCAGTTGGTTCCAAGGTGTTTGTCACGGCAAGTTTCACTTGCACCGAGTTCAACCACTTCTCAAGTTCCTCCATTTTGTCATAGAAGTCAATCCTCTACAAAATTCAAAACATTACACATTAAACTTTAATATGGATAATTTACTCCCAGACTCAAGTCTCAAATTTTCCATTTCCACCACAAACCGATAATGGCTAATGGCAGCAGGAAGAACGGTTTTATTGTTCTTGCATTTCTCAATCTCAATCGTTTTTATTATCCTTACTATTCTATCTCAGTAACTGCATGCTATTTATATGATCCACAAATGTACCTATTCATGTACCCACCCCCCACCCACACGCACGCCTGCTCTCTCACACATGCACGCACGCACACATGCACGCACGCACGCACGCACACACACACACACGTAATATAACTGCAGATGAGTGCGACACAAACCTCCTTGATTCTGTCCGTCAGGTCAGCGATGCACTGGCGTGTTTGCTCGAGCAAGGTCACGTACTCATCAACAATCTCCTTCTCTGAGCCATGTACAGGACTCGTCTCTGCGACCTGTGGCGCCAGCTGGTGGTGCTGCCGCTGCAGGGACTCCACCTGAAGGCGTTTTCCATTCATCTCCTCCAAGAGTTTCTAGTAGGAATCAAGTACTTTTCATGTTTACCATTTACAAGGTTTTACATAAATACACTGACAATATAGGAAAGAAAAAGATGACGGCACACGACTAACTTAGCCTGTTAGCACTGCCCTAATTGAAAAGCCTATGTCACTCAAAACAGTTATATTACTATAAGGCAGCAATTGTACCATTAAAGTATCATAATAATTAATTAATGAAAACGAAGCAATTTATTTTAATAAAGTATTTATTGAAATATCGTTTAATTAATTAAGTCACCAATGTGTAATTAAAAACAATGAATATCAGATTGCATCACTGCAACCTACCTTGTAGCAATCCAGTGCCTGCTTCAGACGCATGACAGCAGCACTAGTCTGCCCAACGTCAGCGCTAAGCGATGTCTGACACTGCTGAAGCCATTCCCTCAGCTTCCTCTCTTCCTCTGTGTATGTTTCCCATTGCTTCACTAGCATGTCAATCCTGCCACAAAGTAATAGCAACAATGACAAAGTGCAAAGTAATGGCATCAGCTGTTAACCTGACATATGTGCGACTAAAGTCTGGGTGGACAGTGTGGCTAATTTTCTCTTGCTATATTGTTTTCAACCCTACGAACTTTCACGATCATATTACTCAGTGAGAGATCCCGCCCGTATCACAACACCTTTGTTCAGCTAACACCACCAACGCATCACATTTAGTCACTGAAGATATATCTGTTCACAGGCATTAGGCATCAGTCATTTTATACCACACTTTAGATGGAATCTATTCAACGTTTAACATCATAAATGACAAGTCTCTGCTACCAAAGAAACCATCCTGGTAGCAGCTTGTGCTAGCATACGCACGCACCTCTTGATCCTCTGCTGTGCTGCTGCTTGCAGGGCATCCCACCTCGCTCGCAGGGTGTGCACTTCCTCAGGCACTGACGCAAACTCCTTCGCCTGTGCGACAATCTCCTCCAGTAGGGGGCGGTGTCGCTCCACGTCAGCCATGAAGCCCTCATGTGCCTGCTTCAGCTGCTGCACTTCCTCTGGATTCCTACAGTAGAGCAGAAGGCAAGCACACACTCGTGAGCACATTGCAAGTAGAAGGACATTTCTTGTATCTTTACAGGTGACAGTTGTTCAAACTACATCCATTACAAAGTGCCATACGTACTGACATCATCTCGTGTCGCTCCCAGCACAACCAATATGGCATGAGTGTGTGTAATTGTGGATTGAGGAAAATTTGCGTCGGTGCGTGACGAAAGTAATTTGAATGATATTTATTACGTTATTCTATTTTAAATTTTGTTGTTCATTTGGTTTAAATTATGTCAGACATCCACAATAGCTTATCGCGAACATTTGTACTGAAAAACAGGACGGACCTTTGCATCCATTAATGACTCTTAATTGATAAGTACATTACCTGCATAGAGGCGTTTCCGTGGCAACCGTGGCCTCGGCACTTTGCATGCTGGCCAATAGTCTTTGCAGCTTAGCCAAATAGTCCTGCAGCACTGACGACTCGGTGGCGACGGCCATTCTTTGCTGCTGGATTACAGCTTCCAAGTCTGCAACAACATGACGTCGGTATTTACGCCCAAACCTGTTTGTCTGTGGTAAACTATGGTGTCTAGTGCTACACATTCCCTGATTACATGTGCATTTGAACTTTGACAAAAGCACCACGTGAAAGTCAGCTTCGATCATACTGGGTCACATACAATGTTGGTAAGTTCACATAACTCAAGTAATCATTATTCTCACGGGTTGTGTCTAGGGATACTTAATATTATGACAATACCTTTCATCTGTTGTTGTAGAGGATTGATCATCACCAGCATGCCAGAGCAGACGCGTTCAGGCAACTGTGCTGCCACCTGTGAATACTGTGTCTCCAACTCCCCTAGCAACGGACGCTGCGTCGCCATCTCAGATTCAACATTCTATAAGACAGTGAATACTGATTAATAAAAGTATTTTTTTAAAAGAAGCACTCCTAGTTATTACCAAGAAATAAAAATAAATATATGTATTGTACTTGTCCATTACATAGAAATGGTTTTACACTCTGTGCTCTCGCACCTAGCTCAAATTATGTAAAACAAGAGAGAGCTATTGGGTTGTCGTTCAACCAACACCCAGCTAGAACTGGTGACGAATACAGATCCTAGCCTATGCTCACCTGAAGTATTTGCAGTCGGTGCTCAAGATTTGCCTGTGGGTTGCTGGCTTCTGTGACTTTTCCCTTAGCAGCAACCAGCCACCCCCAGAGCTGTGTTGCTTTGTCCTCCATCACCTGCCAGGTCTGCGCAAGTGTGTCTAAGTAGTTGACCTCTTGTGTCATCTATAGTACAAAGCATGCAATTAGAAAGAGCAATGTACAGTATAGAATCCACGCAACATACATAAAACTACTACTGTTATTGCGGAATAAATATCACGATGTGTGTGTTTGCATAACACTAAGAGGGCAAATTATTTCTAACGATTTAGGTACATTTGGGTTATTACACGAACCTGAATATCTAGTAACTGTGGACTGATTATTCAATACCTCTGCGCATTATGTAATATATACTCTGTCCACAGCACACAACAATAAACATTTCTTGCTTAGCATCACATGACTGAGAAGATACAAATGCAGGTATGAAAACTTCCGGCCTGTTTGTCGCACACAAACATTAACATCGCATAAGATTTGTTTTCATGATGTCAGGTGGCGCTACCTTCTGCGAGACAGCGTCGAAGCGCGTCTCGACCTCCTGTGTCTCAGCGCGCAGCATCGCCTCGCAGTCAGCACTGACGCGCGACGCCAGCGCCTCCGTCTCGCTCTTCATATCCGCCATGTTGCTCGATCCCTCCACCAGGCGGACGTGTGCGGCCTGCTTCGCCTGTCTATCTGCCTGGATGCGGGCGTCCGAGTCTAGCTCTCGCTGTCGCTGCAGCTCTGCCTCTGCACACTGTGTGGCTGCATCCACCTTCTTCTTGTCATCCTTACGCTTATTGAACAACACTATGATGCACTGCAAGAGAGACAAGGTCACACTATGATGCACTGCAAGAGAGACAAGGTCACACTATGATGCACTGCAAGAGAGACAAGGTCACACTAAGACAAGTGACAGCAACAGTTACAACCTTGCTGAGACACTGTCAGACATCATGAGACAGACGTTTTTTTAGGAACCCTAAACCTCAAAGTTTTATATTATCCATTTTTGTTAATCCATTTTTTATGCACGAACAAAATACCTACTATTATTTGAGTTTTACACATGGGGAAATAAAAGATTACCAGCACAGTATGGTTACTGTGAAATTTGGGGTCAAAGGTCACATTAATGATCATGTCAAGGTCACGTTAAAACATCTGCACATGCCTTGAGTTCATCAACGGTGCTGGTCGCCACGTTTCTCGTCTGCCGCCATGTTTGGTCGAGCGTCACCGTGACTTCGCTAACGAATCGTGGCGCGTGCGCTTCCTGCTGCAGCTGCACACCCTGCTCAATGTCCGTCTCTATCTCACCCGCCTTCTGGTCAAGCTCTTCCATCACCGCCTGTTGGGGAGAAAATGAGGCAAATAATAGACATTTAAATAATGTACGAGCACTTTTTCTCTTAGTGGTTTTTACTTTCCGATTCCAACACATGCCGCCAACACCGAGGTGGTGATTAAAACCTGGCTTCGCTGAAATTCTACAGTTCAATTTAAATTGAATGGCATATGAACACCACTATGAAAAAAAAACACATCAAGAACAGGTGCTCTGTATTTATCGATCAATTTTACTTAAGAACCTTTTGTCATTTTAACCATGCTTTAAAAGTAACGAAGACAATACCTGGTGCTCTACCAGCATGTCCTGAGTATTGTTCTGACTCGTGACCTTTGGTTCGTCTACGACCTTCAATCTCATTGCCTGCAGCCACGTGAGATGGCGGCCAGTCTTATCTCGGTATGTGTGGCACTTCATAACGGTTGTAGTTTGGACAGTTGTCACCTCTGAAGACACAAGAAATAGAAGAGCACTTACAATGTGTATACGAACATGAGGCGAGTGCACACTGTGACTTATATAATATATATATATATATATATATATATATATATATATATATATATATGTATGTATATCTATATATGTATTTACACCATATAATATGGTACCCATACACTACATTACAACTATATTGCATTCCATAAAATGCGTAAAATAGAATTGTTCAATTAGAAATAACTTATTCAACCCTAGCAGTCTCTACTAACTGAGTAGAAATGTAGAGTCCATTACAACTATATGATTGATGAAATGTTAGTTGGGGGTGCTGACCTAGACCGGGTACTATGGTCTCATATCTGTTAACGAGGGCATTGAGTCGTTCCTTCTCAGCGGTTGCCACGGGCACAGGTGTCGTCTGCCGCAGGGTCTCCAGCGTCTGTAGCAACCAGTTAAAGTGCTGCCTGTGGTGTTCCACCTGTCGGCAGATGTCCTGCAGCAAAACAGAATAAGCTGGTTGCAGTTACCATGTCTCTAGCTGAATGCATCGCTACTTTCTATCCATTGCATTCGATGTTTACGCTGATTGGAGATAAAAGCTATCAAGATCGCCATCTGTAAAGGTGTGGGATCTCACGAGCCACGTTCTCTTGTTAGTAAGATTACATCCTCCATTCTTGTCAACAACAGAAAGCATTAAAGCTAAACTGAACTCAAACAGAAATGTACTTCCATATTTATAGAAACAACTTTATCATGACAGTCACTAAAGATAATTGTTTGTGTCCACTGTACTTCTTGTTAAGTGCTGAAATGCACAACACCTGCTGTGCATCCATTCGAACTTGAATCCTACCTTGAACTTGTTTAGCTTTGCTTTATACTCCTGAGTACTGGCAGCATCTTGCTGTAAGTCCTGCACAGCAGCGTCAACACTGTCCATCCAATTCTCCATGGCAACGAACCTGCGACAAGAGAAGCCATGATGAATAGATAACAGTTACCTATTGTGTGGCACACGCGCACCACATGCACACATCACAACATCACACACCCCATATCACACATCACAACACCACACACCCCATATCACACATTACAACACCACACACCCCATATCACACATCACAACATCACCCATGACAACATCACCCATGACAACATCACATATCACACATTACTAAAGTAGATGTCTGAATAGGCAGTAGAAGAATGTAGTCTTAGAGACGACTAAGAGGAGATTTCTATGCGTACCTGTCGTTGTACTCTTTCCACTTGCCGGGCATCTCCTGCAGAAGTTGTCTCATTGTCTCTGCCCTCTCTCTGAGCTGCTGCCACTGTTCCTCCAGTGTTACATACCGTGCAATGAGAGAGTTGTCCTGCGATGGGGGTGAGCTTTCCTGTAGTGAAAAAAGTGTAGGTACATATTGGCCTCATATATACAAATTACCGAAATAGTGAACCTTGATTGAAAAGTGGTTCTTTTTGGTTAATTAGCTTTTCAGCTAGTTTGCGTTAATTCCAGACAGTTGTGAGTGGGGTCACATCTGTGTGTCTGGTTTATTGAGCAGGTTAGCAATAGACATAGAGCATGTTCCACTGTCATTATCTACCTGAGAAGAGTAAACTGCCAATTTTTGGGCCGACACTTTCATCAGCTTCAGCAGTTTCTCGCAGGTTGGGAAGTAATCACTGTCATGATAGAAGGCCTGCAAGTGAAGAGCAACGATGGCAGTTAATACAATACCACAGAAATTAGTGTTTGCAAAATAAGACCACAAAATGAGTGATATCATAAAAATTATATTATTAAAATTATCACATTATTCACCACAGACTACTTCTGCTTTATGTTTGCAATTCTTTTACGTCAGTTATCGCAAGAGAATTCGGCCCTTAAGAAAACATACTGACTCAGAGTTTAAGATAGATTCTGCATGTCCAGCAGATTTTCCCTGAAATGAGATTCTCACCAGATGTTGTTGCAGCAGTGCAGCAGATTCATACTCCGCTTGCATCTGCACCTCTTCCATGTCAGCGTTGTCCTGTCCTGACTTGAGCAGGGGTACGAACTGTTTCTCATTTTGTCTGAACTCTAGCTCTATCAGTCGCATCGGTGCCCGGTACAGGGTGTCCTGTAAGATTTCAACAGAATTTCAGACACTACATTATTTCAAAAGAGTATCGCATATTACAAGCCAAGCTTTCTCAAACGTGTGTCATTCCAAGGTCACCTCCCAATTTATTCGTCTGCTGCGGTATCTAGCAATTACCATTCCGGTAGGATAATCGAATTTCGCACAGTGCAACCTTTCCCCGAGTTCATCAAATGCCATCAGTAAGTGCATCTAAATGCGTAACGCAACAATGCGACACTTGTTTATCTCGGGTAGCTCTCTTGTTTCTGCTGCGCGCTGTGTGGCACTCACCTTCCAGCTTGCCTGCAGCTGCGCCATGCTGGCCTTCGTCTGCATGGCCGTCTGCTCATCTGCACTCTTCACAACATCTTGGCTCGCCTGCACACACCGCTGCAGCAGACTCTGGTCCACCTTCGTGAAGAAAGCCTACAGAGAGACAAGTACAAGATTCGTCAGTGTAACAGTAGAGGCAGTATATGGCACTCGTGTCGTCAAGCTAATCTTTAGTAATTTCTTGTTTTCCGCGTGCTGTCGGAAAATTACCAGTGGTGTGTTAGTGGGTGGGTCATTTCTTACCACTTGCTCGACATGTATCATAGACAGACATTCACATGCAAGAAATTTGTTTACCCAAAAATCATACATTATTTTCTAACAGAATGATTATTCCTTATCAGTTACTCTAAGGCAAAAAGAACATCGTTAACAGGTAGCTAAAGTATTCGCACGTATTACTACACTGTTGTGCTGATATCCTTGACTATTAAAGCAGGGCGTGAAATTAGCACCGACTCACTGGCATATGCTGGCAAATTACTTGGAGGGCCGGTAACATTTGCAAAACACCGGCCCTCCGAGCCGGTGGTTTCAGCCGTGTTAGCGAGTACCTACATTTTTATTTATAGCCTACATTATTTATAGCAAATAGCCTACATTACTGTTTTACCTGACGGATATCACGCCATAACCTATCAAGATTTTACAAATTTGAAATCGAGAATGCAAGCGTGAAACATGACATTGATTTTACAAACAAATTTGTGAGGGCTGGTAAATTATGGTGAGGGCTGGTAAAAATTACTGTTACCAGCCCTCTGGGCCGGTGCAAAAAAATCTGAAATTCGTGTCGTGTTAAAGTGTGACGATATGAATATGTGATAATATCGATTAAATTACTCTCATAATACATGAATTTGTAGGAAATCTCCACAAGTAGCCAAGATGGCTGCTCATGCTTAGCAAGAGAGACCTTGTGTTTGCTGATGAGGTTAGTCGTGCTATCATCCTCATCTGCCATCACATTGTTTGCTATCTGTAGCCATTCTTTCAGCTGCATTCTGTACTGGTGATAGCCACCCAGTGATGCAACAGCTTTCTCCAGTGCGTGCTCCCACTCTGCTCCTTGCTGCATGGCTCTCTGTAATGCGTAGTGTTGGGAATTGGTCTACATTTCATGATCAGTTATTGAAATTAATCTATTCAAAGGCTAAATGTAATGCTTGACAAACTCAATTAAACAGAACATGACTAGTATTAGATTAGTATTTAGATTAGTATAGTATTAGACACAGACTATTCCACATTGATAGCAACAACGAACAAAAAATGAAACATTGACTGGCCTGAAGAACGAATACGAGATTTACGCATACATGAAATGTAAAATGTGTGAGCCGGCTGAAGGGTATACGATGGCGATCCCAACTAACAGCGATAAACTCACTTGGAATCTGAGTGTCAGCTCTGCCCAGTACTGGTGCAGTGCGCTCGTTCTCAGGTTTCGTAGGTTGCTCCTCAGCATCGCCTCTACCAGCTTGTTCTTGCTGTCCAGATTCGACTTGTAGATGGAAGTCTGGGCAAAGCACACCTAGAAGAAGTAGAATTTGAGACCGTCAGTCAGTCATTCAGACAACCATTCAGAGAGACAGACAGGTAAGAGACGGTCAACCAAGCAGGAAGAGGCATGTTCAGTGCTGCCTACCTTGTGCTTTCCCAGACGTGCCTCCATTGCCTCGACATCGTCTGTGACTCGGTGTGACCCCAGCATGGCCTCGCGCTCCGTCAGCCATGTTGAGATGTCCACATATCCACTCTCGAGTGCCTGTAGCCTCGGCACCTGCTGCTTGAAGCCCTGCTGAGCTTCAGTCAGGTCTTTCCTCATCTGGAGACATGAACGCAAAACAATTATACACACTCTGCACCATTCACGTGGTCAGCGATACCACGGATTACCTGTTAAATGATAGCATTTGCCAATAAAATGTAAGTGCAGCAGAAATCTAGAGGATTGTTATTGTACAACAAGCTAAGTTATGTTAGCAAGTTAATAAATAAGTAAGATACACCTTCCTTAAGTAACCACCTTGCGGCATTATGTACTTGAGTTCAGTTACTTAAGTTTAGTACATCTGCTTAGTAGGTTATGTTGAGTTTAGTACTTTTAGGCACTATACTAAAGTTGATTAACTCAAGTAGCCACCTTAAGTAGTCGGTCCTTTAGTGTCTTGAGTGTGGTAAGCATGGATGTGACCTGCTGCTGGGTGGACTGTTTCACGAGGCCCTGCGCCATCTTTGACAGAGACAAGAACTCATCCTCCTTCATGTCCAAGTCCTTCAGTTGTCCCTGCATAATATATAAAGAGTTATCAATACAGTCCAATGTGTTTTACCAGTCATCTCTATGGTACTGATGCCTGTCTATAAAAGGCATTTCCCTTGCGTACTGTATACGCCTTATTTTTCGCGTACAGATATTTTCGTGAATTCAGACTTGACGGACAGTGAATTATGAATTATTCGGATATTGTTATTTTCGCGGAAAATTAAACCACCGCGAAATATACAGCATTGACTGTACTACAAATTCATAGCTCCATGTAGAGCTACACAATGTATGTGCAGCCACAAATGTACACAATGTATGTGCAGCCACAAATGTACACAATGTATGTGCAGCCACAAATGTACACAATGTATGTGCAGCCACAAATGTACAAAAGATTATACTACTTTTTCGCGGTTTAAGAGTTGTCTATTTTTTACTTTTACGTCTTCTTTTTAAGTGCAAATTCAGACTAAAAACTATCGCGCTTATCTGTACGGGGTCGGCCATGCAGGAACAGGCATTTGTGTACGGGTAAAGCTCTGACAAGAACAGATGAGGTTTTCGTGAACACAAAGTCTCATGCTGTCAAATCGGCTGGTCCACACAAACTGCAATTTTCGCTCGGAACACAGGACAATCGCATCAAGTTGATCGTGTAAGCAGGGTCGACTCGTCTTCGCGATACACAAAAGCTCATTTTGTCATCGCACACAAAACTCAATTTTGTGCAAACCGAGCCAACAAAACTTCGAATGGTTTCGAAGACGTCACAAAACTCAATTTGTGAACAGGTTCAAAAACATTGAAACACAAAACTTAACCTTCTGAACCGGGCGGCCCGATCCAGAATCTCATTGGCCTCAAATATGGCTACACGCAAATGTAAAGAAGTGGCTACCATGGGTTCAGAAAGCTTGAAAAAGGGGCTGGAGAAATGTGTCATGGTCCGCATTTTGTTTTCTTCTGACCAAATGGTAGCCCTTCTTAATGCGTGTGCCATATTTGGCAACAAAATCGCATTTTGTGGTAACGCGTTGCGACGCCGAATGTGAGTTTTGTGTTTACAAAATTGAGTTTTGTGCTGACAGGATTGAACAGAATTGAGTTTGTGTCACAAAATTGAGTTTTTTGGGACCAGGAATTGACAGAATTGAGTTTTGTGCTTCACAAAATATGTGAGTTTTGTGGGCAGGATTGACAAAGAATGTGAGTTTTTGCTGTTGCACAAAATGACTTTTGTGCAGACAGAATTGAGTGTGTGCACAAAAGTTGAGTTTAGTGAGACAGAATTGAGCTTTTGTTAGAGGCAAAATTGCAGCCCTGTCCTGCATTGGCCGGCCCCGCTAATCTGAAGCTCACTGCAAAACATACGTATGCAGCGCATAATACTATGAAAATAAAAATAGCTGAGAACGCCTTTGTTTGCTTGAGGCAGTAAGAAACAGAGAACCTATAACTGATATCAAGAGTAGATAATAACACTCTTATTTATAATAGATAGTAATAATAATTGCTGATATTCATAAACGTTATAAGGCTTGTGCAAACATTTATTTCTATATTGAGGCTTTTTTAATTCAGATGTCCACATTTGATAAAGCTAGGGCAAACAGCCAAATTTGTGAATGCGTAAATATTCCTATGAATTAAAAACCAATGTCTGGTACATGACAAGGTGTATTGTAGCGCTGCATTACTTCATGTAACTATTTTTGCCATTTAATATGTGTGCCTGGAGTATTATTTGTTTGCCAAATCACAACGCAACTGCAGCATGCTTTTTATGATAAATTTTGCCTTATAAGGAGCTTTTCCAATCCGACGGTTAAGCCGCAATCTTCATATGCACAGCTGCAGGATAACACATTACACATGAGATAAAATACAAGGAACATTGTGTTGGCGCAGCCCACCTGTACTCTGGCCTGCAGTTCCTCTATCTTGTAGTCTGCTGAAGTGTATGTAGTCTCTCTCCATGACCTGCAAGTCCCATCTCCTGTTTGCCCTCCATGATGCCAGTATGCTGGCTGATGCTCTAACTCATACTGCAGTCTGTACCACCTGTTACAGCAAATCTCGTCAAACACCCAACATTTTTTCATCCCTCAGCAAATAAATAACAGGTCGAGGGATTGGCAACACTCAAACAACACTCAATCAAGAGCAGATAAATACTGAGGTGGACTCCAGTGCTGAGCGAAATGACTAATGGCACACATAGAACAGTTTTACACCTTAGGCTGACGGATTCTTTACAACAGCCTATACACATAATGTTGCACTATATACGAAAACCAACAAGTCAACTTTCCTGATGTCTAGCTGCACAGACCCCAGAGAATTTACGATGAAATAGCAAGGTTAAGGCACATACATAAAAGTTGGCGTGGAAAAGAGCTGGGATAGATATATATACTTGTTATAACTATATGATCGTGCATATGATAATGTGTACCTGCGGTTTTGCGTGATTCCTACTTTGTTTAGTCGAACATCGATGTCATGAATGTGCTCTGCCTTGATCCTCTTCCCTTCTACAACACCTGTGATCTTGTATTTCTTGAAGTGGTGACACACGCTCGCATAGTCCTTGAAAAAATCCTGCAATAGAACAGGCCTGCTAAGAATCTGCTAATGACATTATATACATGTATATGCAGGAGCGTATAATGACAAATCATTGTATTTGTATTTGTCATTGTACATAATTAGTATTCGCTATACGTATCTTATTCGCCTATTCGTATTTCGTATACATATTCGTATTTGTCATTATACGTCCTGCCTGATGCTATATGTATATGTATATATATATATATATTATGTGTATATATATATATGTGTGTTGTTTATATATGTGTTTTACTTATATATTCTATACCTTGAACGCTTTGTTTTTTTTATAATATTGATAGTATATATATATATATATATATATATGTATATGCGTGTGTGTGTTGTGTGTTGTGGTTGCTGCATTCTGCGTGCGTTGCGTAGCGTGCGGCGGTGGCACGAGCGTGCGTGTGTGCAATGGGTATTATGCAATATTCATCATGTGTGTATAATCCTGTGTGAATGGACCTGCATTTTCACTGCTACTTATAGCTTAGGAAACATTACGCTACAACCCGTTCACATACTTCTACTCCTAGAAAGAAATTGGCAGCTTTTTAAAATAGAATGCGAGGGGGGGGGGTATGTCAAAATATCCCCCACATACTTTGTGGTCCTCGATTTTTCTTGGCTATATACTGCGTGTTCTGTCGGGGGTGGGTTTGTATCTGGAAAGGCTGATCAAGGATTTCTTCCCGCCTGGTTCACCCATGCACCAATGTGACCAAGTGTACTCGGCAGAGAGCTGTCCAGCTTCCAGCGCCACTTTTGCGCAACTGCAATAAAGAATGACAAACATTAAGGCTAGAATGCGGTGTCAAAGGAAATGACAGATATTGACCCATGCAAAGTATGTATAGTGTTTGTAAAGTTGATCTCAAATTCAATTATGAAACTATAATATGTTAAGATTCTAATATAATACACACCACTGATTCCATCATTATTATTACCATTTATATCTATTTATTATTATTATTATTATTATTATTATTATTATAATTTCGCATGC